GGGTTTTTTCTTTTTTTACATAGACTGACTTCCAAAAGGACAATAACTTTGAGTGTGCCTGATCTCCAGATGTTGTTGCGGTGTGTAGTAGGTTTAATTGAAACTGGAGTGGAAACCATTGTTACTGGAGCTAAATAACCAGGCCTAGCTCTAACTTTTCTATCCAGAGCACTGTTAGGGCTGCATTCATTCCGATGGCATTCTTCCCCTTCTCCCCCCCAGCAAAGCCACAGGACCCAGAAATGGCACAAACTGGCTAGATAACGCAGAGACTGAGTTACTCGGGGCTTTGTCCAGCTGTAATGTGAGAATCAGGCCATCTTTTCAGGGCTATGATGAGAAGTGATCAGTTTTGAATCTGGTTACTCCTGAGGGAAGAAAGAATCTCTTTTTTTGGGCGGGGCACATTCATTCTTGTTTAAAGCCCCATTGGTTCTTTACTACATTTCTCTGGGCTAGAGATTACTCTTGTCTAAGACACCAAGGGTTTTGGAAAGATAACAGAGAGATGTGTAATTTATTCTGTAATCATTGGCTAAATCAGTTTCAACAGAAGCCTAACATTTGAAGATAACTGATATTGTTTACTTTTGGGAGTGTGTGTGTGTGTGTGTGTATATGCAGCTACTGAATTAAAAATCAATCTTAGTCACAAATAATCACCACTTCACACCTACCTTCTTTTTCCTCAAGACAAAATTAGAAAGTACAAAAGAAATGCATTATTTCTGTGAAAGGGTAGAGAAAACCAATCTCTTAGGGCTAAGCACAGCCGGGCCTAGACAAATTAAAAAGAAAGAAACATTTGCTGGCAACATTCTCATCCTTCAGGTTCATAGAATGTGGAACATGAGAGCTCAAGGAACCTTAGGGTCCCCCTGTCCCCCAAGATCACAGGTAAGGGAATCAGGCCTCGAGGCTTTATCTTTCTGCTTTCCACCCCTCGGTGTGGCTTCCTCCCACTCCTTTTTCTTCACGCTGCTGTCAATCAAAATAAATTTGTTTTAAGAAATGGCTTGAAATGTGGTCAGGCTAGATTGTCAAAACTGAAAACCTGGTTAAACTCGGACCTCTCACAGAGAACTTGCAGTGAGCAGGGTTCAAACCTAAAGCAAAAGGAATAAACCTCCAAGGGAAGGATCTTTACTATCATGGAGGGCAGTTTCTGGTGGAGAGTTAGGGAGACTGTCTTAGGTCCAGTCCCCAGGAAACAGATCCTGAGATGAAAATGGCAGGTTTATTAGGAAATGTTCCTAGGAAAAGACTTGTAGGAGAGTTGGGGATGGGAAGGGGTGGGGAATACAAGGAGGCCATGAGAGACTGTGGTATCAGGCAGTCGTACAGAGGGGATGTGGGCTCAGTCCCACAGAGGAGCTCTGGAGTCGTGTAGGTCATGCCTGAGAGTTGTCCTGGCCACTGGGTGAAGGGGCAGATGTACTATCCTCCACACCTGTTGGGTATTAAAGAGCTGCCCTGCTGTGGGGTGGGTGTGAGTGGGGGCTCAGTTCCCCACCTTGCAGTGGACTGCAGTAACCTGAGGGAGTCGGACGATTGTGTAACTAAAGGGAGAGCTACCCGAGGGGACTTGGGCACATCCCTGTCAGAGCCCTGACAGCAGACACCTTCCTGACACCTTCAAATCACGCTAGGGCGCATCCTCCAGTGCCCCTTGCTCCCTGAGCTCATTAGTACAATCAGTGATTGGGTCTCAGCTTCCGTAGTCTTTGGAATTTTGAGTCTAAATGAGAGCTGAGGAAAGGAAGGTTTCCGTTGTAGTAAACCAAACACAAATTCAGATTTTGGGTTGGCACACTTTCGTTTCTGCCTCTCTTAGGGAATATCAGTTTCCAGGAAGGAAACAAAAGAGCATATATTCCAAGTAGCAAGAGAAAGAAAATAGAAATACATGTTCTAAGGCTTATCTCCAATGATCATGGTGGTTATTTTCTGCCAGACTTGACTAACACACACCCCATCTCAGAACACTCCTCATAGCCCTGGGAGATTGCCACTGACTAACCGAGGTGGGCACACACACTGAAACTTCCCTGTCTTCCCTGGAGGCAGAGGAAAGGTCCAGAGGTAGGTTGACCTTAGGCTGAGAAGGGCTAAGGAGTTCAAAGGATGACAGGCAAAGAGAATTCAGAAAACATGTTTATATTGGCAAAATGACTGGTGATTTTCCTCTGTGAAATAATAGCAATAGGTATTGATCTCTGGCTGCTGTTATTTGTTTTCTTGCCTTAGTTCTAAGCTATTCTGTTTATTTCTAGAAAAGTAATTTCATCACCAGACACCGCTTTTATTATTCTCCGTGAGTCCCATGTATTGGAAGACACTGGTCTATCAATTAAACTGTGCTTAAGTAACAGCAACAGCATCAGCAAACAAGCATTTATTGTTTTCCACATGCCAGCCACTGTTTAAGTGTCTAATGTTGAATAACTTTTAAAATGCTTGCAAGGTAGATACTATTACTATTCCCATTTTATAGTTGTTGGAATTGAGACACAGAGAGGTTAAACATTTTTTGCATAAGGTTATATAGCCAGTAAGTGGTAAAATCAATACATTTTCCAGTCTTCCATTGTAATGCTATGAAGAACAAGCATTATTTCTGACTAGAAGGAGATAATAAAAAGTAGAGTAGTGGTTTCCAGGGGCTGGGAGGAAGGTGCAAAATGGAGACTTATTGTTTAATAGGCATAGAGTTTAAATTTTACAAGATGGAAAAAATCCTGGAGATGGATGGTGGTGATGGTAGCACACCATTATGAATGCATTTAATGCCACTAAATTGCACACTTTAAAATGTTTACAATGGTTATGTATATTTTGCCACAATAAAAAAATTGGGGGAAAAAAGAAGATAACCAGGGTTTCCAAAAGTTGATATAATTTTGGCCGTATGCAAAGAAACTTGCTATTTTAGCTTGTGCAGTGCATCAGGAGGAAATGGTGGTTTTCTGTTAGTCTTCATGAAAAGACACCCATTCTTTTTTTGTTTGTTCATCCTCACCTGAGGATATTTTTTCCCATAGATTATTAGAGGAGGGAAAGGGAAAGTGAGAGAGATTCATTGATGTGAAAGAGACACATAGATTGGTTGCTTCCTGCTTCGACCGGGGCTAGGGATTGAACCTTCAAACCAGGTACATGCCCTTGACCAGGAATTGAACCCACAGCCCTTTGGTGCTCAGGCTGACATGTTAACCACCAGACAACATTGGCCAGAGCACTATTCTTGTTTTTGAAGGCCACAGAGCTCTCATACTCTGGATTGGAAACTCCTGATTTGACCACTCAATTTTTCAGTTCCTGGTGAAAGAGAGAATGTTCATTGTGGAGAATGATACATTTTAGAGTGAACTGATCCATCGGGAGGCTGCACAGCCAAGGCCGAGGGCCTCGCTCTGAATTCACTGCACGCTGCCCTCCCGGTTATTCGCTGGGTGACCTTAGGCAAGTTGTTTAACTCCTGAGCCCCAGATTTCTCATCTGTAAATGGAGAGGTAGTGATGGTCTGTGGAGACTCTTAGAAGAGTACGTGGCACTTAGTAAGCACTTAGCAAATGCTATATCATGTTAACCCTTATCGTTTTGTATTACATCAGGCAATAGTGATAATACAGAACCTTGAGGCTTCTGGATGACACAGTGAGAGAGAAGTGTAAGCACTCAACTGATGATAAGTGTCCCCTTTCCTCTCCTGTATCAAACAGGGTGGGGGAACCTATAGTGGGGACTCCCAGACCTCTTGGTGGATACCCAGTGGCAACCCCCTTATTGTCTTTATAAATTATCCTATATAATAAAAACCTAATATGCTAAGTGTCCAGTCGTCCAGTTGGCCGTTCAACCAATCAAAGTGTAATATGCTAATGATATGCTAAGACTGCTCAACTGCTCGCTATGACGTGCACTGACCACCAGGGGGCAGACATCTGATCGGTAGGTTAGCTTGCTGCTGGGATCCAGCTAATTGGGACTGAGTGAGATGGGCCAGACACGCCCTGGAGCCTTCCCGCAGTTCCTCCCCAGCTGGCCAACCTCCTGCGTCCCTCCCTGTCCCCGATTGTGCACCGGTGGAGTCCCTCAGCCTGGCCTGCACCCTCTCGCAATCTGGGACCCCTTGGGGGATGTTGGAGAGGTGGTTTCAGCCTGATCCCACAGGCCAGGCTGAGGGACCCCACTGGTGCACGAATTCGTGCACCAGGCCTCTAGTAGGTGTATAAAGTGATGTTTCCTGAAATTCCCTAAGTGGCTTCAGGGACATCATGTGATATCAAAAGCTTCCCAGATCTCAACATGTTGAAGTGACCGTCACACATGGTGTAGAGAGAGCTGGCTGCTGGGGCCAGCAAGAAATCTGCTTCAGATGCCTGCCCAAGTCTTTGAGCTCCTTTGTTTTGTGAGGGAGCTGATTTTTCCTTCATGATGACCTCAGGCCTCTTAAGTGAGATATTAAAAAATCATTTTTTCCTCCCTACTCCAAAGTAAGAATCGGCTCTGTGCATGATGGAGCTGATGCTGGCTTGACCCACTGTTAACCTGGGAGGAGGCTGCCTCGGGGAAGGGGGGTGGGCAGGGTGCTGATGCTGTCTTGGATTGTGACTCTGAGGTCAATGATGTCCAAGTCTTTAGTTGTCTCTGGTTTTCCTAGAGCAATGGAGCTCAAAGGATCACCGAGGAGTCAACTAGAGCCCCGAGAACATCCCGTTTAGGTGCATGTTCGCTCTCTTGTCCTTCTCCCCTAGCAACTGTCTGACTCAAACACTGCTCAGCAAGTATTAATTCTCTGCAGTTTATACCCTTGCCTATGGTATTATTGTTGCTGAATTGTTCATGTGGATCTTCAGAAGTGGAACCCTGAGGAATATCTACAGGAACCAAGGCTGTACTTTGGAAAAAGAATATCTTTATTAAATCCCTTTTAGTTATTAAGTATGCATCATATGGTCCAGCCATTTGACCCGCAATCTCTGTTTTTCTCTCCCCAGCACTGGCTTGAACCTAACAAGTCCATCTTCAAGCAAATGAAATGTAAGTGTCAACCTGTGGGTTCACCTTTGCTATGAAGTGTCCAAAGACAGATTCTGTTTCTCCACAGAGTTTTTCCTGCCAGGGAAGAAACTGCTTTAGTTGAAGATCTGTGGGGGCGGGGCTTCTCTCTCCCAGTGAGAGCTGTGTGGCCTCTCTCTTATTTGCTGGCCTTGGGCCTCTTTGCAGTCACTATTCCAATAGCCCCCCCCCCCACCCCCCCGCCCTGTGTCTCTCCCTCTCCACCAGCTTACCCTCATGTTCCATATTCACACGGGAATTGGATTAGATGGTTAAATATGTGTTATACATAATCACCAGGTGCCTGGTTCCTTCTGGTTGTGGGGTTGCTAGTAAATGGTTCAGGGTGGGAGATGCAGTCTTGGGGGCGTATTTTGAAACTAAAATCTTACTGTCTCTTTACTGAAGAGTGTGTTGTTCTTTTCCACCCTCAAACTCTATCAGATAAATATTTTTTTTCTGAATACTTGTTTGCAAGCTCTGGTGTTTTGACCTGCCCTTTTAAATATTTTTATTTTTCCCCCTGATGAGCTCTTGGAGAAGTCCCTTTGGAAAACGTCTCTCTGAGGCGTGTGACGAGGGTATTGACTAGTGGTCCTGGGTGGGCATGGAGTTTTGTCTGGCCCCCCCTGCCAGGCTGCAGTCACCTGCTTTTATTTATGGTTTGGAGGAGAGCTTCTGAAATGCACCTCACAGATTCATTGCCGGCCCTGAAATCCATTTACCCTCCGTGCCAACTTTCCCACGGCCCTGAAACGTAGGCAATCAATCAGCTTCTCATTGGAGATCACATATTATGTCACTCAGGGGATTCTTTTCTTTTTCCAAATATGAAGAAATTTTTCTGGGCAGGGTTTTGAGTGGGAGAAGGAAGAGACGGAACGTGGATGGCACTCTGGCAACCAACATATTTATTCCTAGTTCTCTTTTTCTCTCTCCCTTCCATTTGTCCCCCCTCCCCTCTCCTATCTCCTATCTCTGAAGAGCAAACTATCTGGCCAGTGCAGGAAAGACAGCCAGACAGCTAACAACCATGGCTGTTGTGAGCAATGGGCGCTGCCGGGAGATGGCAGGAAAGATGTGTGAGATGAAAATGGACAGCATGAATGTGGGAGGTCCAGAGAGGTCAGGCTGTGGGGTGAGGCTGGAAGAGAATTGGGACAAGCATCTGATAAGAAGTAGCAGGACAGAGGTACCAGGAAACTCTGTAGAGAATGACTCGCAGGATAATGAGAATGAACAAACATATCTGAGAAAAAAATAACCAATGCCTAGCTTTTACCCTTAACTACAAGTTTTGATATTTTTGTTTACATAGTTTAAAATATTTAGACAGTTTCCCAGGAAAACGTTCTTATAGTAAGTGGTTCTTTGACTTTGGTTGTTCTTAAATGTCATGAAATATGTTCCTTAGGCTGCACACAATTTTGAAGTATAAATCTGTCTCTAAAGATGCATTTCCACAGTTAATAGAAGAAAATATTTAAAACTTGTGAAGAATTTGCTGCTAAAGAGCTTTGTCTCTGCCATTAGAAAATCTGAACAAACAACTGAAAACTCATAGTGTTTTACAAAAGTGGTATAAAGATGAACGTATGACTACTGACCAGTGCCAATCTAATGATGAGTGGCATCTGGTTCTGGAAAAAGAGTTGTGTAAAGTTCAGCATGTAAGCCTGACGCAGTGGCTCACTGCTTCTAGGAACCGGCAAAGGTCTTCTCACTCATCACCCAGTCCTCTGTTGTATTAAGGACATGAGTGAAGAAACTTTGTGTCATTTTCTCAAGATTACAAACCTGGTTTTGTTGTGGTTGTTGTTGTCTGTTATATCAAGAATTTCTGTGCTCTTATCCATATGTCCTGGAACATGAACTTTAATGTAAATTAGAAAACAATTAGGGCTTATAAAATGTTAACTCAGAGAAACTGGGTCCAACTCCTGAGACTCATTCATGAATTTATCAAAAGGATCTTGTTGCAGAACCCAGACAGCTTCCAGCTTGGGTGTGGGCATGCCTTTATACTCTGAGTGGGCAGCGAGGGCACAGTTCCTGGGAAGAGCGGTTTCTCCCGTTCCTCTCCCTCACTAGCGTGATGCCTGACTTTCAGGTCCTTTGCCCTGACCTGATGAAGATCCCTCCGTGGGTGTTCCCACAGGCTGGCAGAGGTTCAGCCGTCCTGGTTAGCACACACTTTGCAGAGGCATTACTCTTATTTCTTACTAGTGTTTTAAAAAACCACTTTTAATAATATCATACTCGTGGTTTTTTTCCAACAGTTCAGAAAAGTTTAAAGTGAAAACCATATTTTCTTTCTCCTCCCCATTACATCGCCCCAATAAATAACTGTTGTTACCAGTATTTTATATATCCCTCTAGGAATTTTTTTGTTATATAAGCTCCCCCAACATGTGAAAGGCCTTTATCAACAAAAACAAGATAAACTCTCTATTATTCTTCACCTTGTTTTCTTTAAAAAAATATTTTTATTGATATCAGAGAGGAAGGGAGAGGAAGAGAGAGATAGAAACATCAATGATGAGAGAGAATCATTGATCGGCTACATCCTGCACGCTCCCCATTGGGGATTGAGCCGGCAACTTGAGCATGTGCCCTTGACCAGAATTGAACCCGGGACCCTTCAGTCCATTGGCCGACGTTCTATCCACTGAGCCAAACCGGCTAGGGCTTAAATAATATATTTTTTATTTCAGAGAGGACGGAAGAGGGAAAGATTCTCATCATTGATGAGAATCATTGATTGGCTTCCCCTGCACGCCTCCTATTATGGGTTGAGCCTGCAACTTGGGCATGTGCCCTGACAGAATTGAATTGTGACCTCCTGGTTCATAGGTTGACACTCAACCACTAAGCAACACCGGCCAGGTGTTTTCTTAATATTTTTACAGATTTTTGAATATCAGATAGATGATTGGCTTCATTTAAAAAATGGTTTTCTGGCCCTATCTGGTTTGGCTCGGTGGATAGAGCGTCGGCCTGCGGACTCAAGGGTCCCGGGTTCGATTGCTGTTATAAACTGTGCAGTAATAAACATGCTTGAATGTATACCCTTGCATCTGGAACATCTGTACTAGAAACTCACTCATCGATGTTTCTAGCTCTCTATCCCTCTCCCTTCCTCTGTGTAAAAAATCAATAAAATATTTTAAAAAAATGGTTTTCTGATAGTTAATTGTTTGCATGTATGTAACTTATTTATTAATGGACATCAAAGTTGTTTCTAGTCTTTTGCTGTTATAAACTGTGCAGTAATAAACATGCTTGAATGTACACCCTTGCATCTGGAACATCTGTACTAGAAACTCCTAGAAGTGGAGTTGTTGGATTGAAAGGTATAGACATTTTACATTTCCTTACTGATCAATATCCATCCAAACAGCTTACAATAATTTACTCCCACTAATGTTATATGGGAGTGCTTGTTTCCCCCAAATATTGTTGAAAATAGATATAATCCAACTTATTTTTATGGTGAGCTCTTCCTCCTTCCCCACCCCCAGAGTGGCATCAGGAGGCAGGGAAGCTTACGTACCATCCTGGCAGTGAGGGCGCAGTCCTCTGAGTCCTCCCCTGGTGCAGCTCCTGTGGTTTGGTCTTTGGTTGTGGGCCTCTCTCCCCACTCATCCTTTCTGGATGTAACTAGTCTCGCTGGCCTTTGAGTGCGCACTGGCCTGTGCTGTTGAGGCCTGTGGCTCCTGCCATGGTCTGTCCTGCAAGTCTGCAGGTGATGCCCTCTTGTGGTCCCCACTCCAGGTCTCCTCACTGGTTGACTGTCCGCACTTCTGTGTTCACCACTGGGACAGGCAGAACCTGCTCAGCCTCTTTCGTGCCCTGTGTCGGCCTCAGGGAGACTTGTGTGCTCTAGCTAGGATTCCCACTCTGCTTAAACACACCCTGCTGTCAGTTCTTCAGTATTTTCCAAAGTTGCAGACATAGCACTTTCCCTAAAGGATTCTGAGACTTCTTTGTCTTGCTCCCCCGAACTCCTGGCTCTGTTCAGCCATCTAGAGTGCTGAGTGAGGCTGGATTCTTTCTCAGAGCTCCTCATAGCGTCTGTAACTTGGTGTCGTCTTCTCTGGATCTCTCGAAGCTCTCCGCTTGCCTTCCTTCCCCAACCCTTACCCACAACTAATAGTGGCTTTTGTCCTTGGATACTAGGTTAATATTCTAAAGCAATAGCTTTCTTAGGCAGTAACTTGTTTATCAACTATAATGGGAAGAAGTGCTATTATTTACAACAGCAATAACAAGTAAAAACAAATTTATTGTAAATAAACGTAACAAGAAATGTTCAAGATCTATACAAATAAAACTATAAGATTTTACTGTGGAGTTATGGTAACGTAGATAAAAAAGATATTGATAAATGGAGACTTCTCATGTTTCTGGTTAATATGATTAGTCAATTTTTCACAAATTAACACATACATTGAATAAATTTCAAATCAAAATTTTAGTGAGGTTCTTTATGGCATGTAATAAACTGATTCTAAGGCTCACTGGCAAAAGAAAATGTTCAAAGACCAGCCACAATAAATACAGGATAGAGCAAAAGTAGGTTTAAGTTGTGAGTACACAAAACAGTATATTCTTATATTATTATTTATTAATTATTGTATTTTTCATATGAACAACTGTGGGCATACTTTTGCTCCACCTTTTATGTAAAGAATGATAGGGCTGGCCGGTGTGGTTCAGTGGTTGAGTGTTGACCTATGAACCAGGAAGCCAAGGTTAGATTCTCAGTCAGGGCATGTGCTTGTGTTGCAGGTTCAATTCCCAGGAGGGGGCATTCATGAGGCAGCTGATCAATGATTCTCTCTCATCATTGATGTTTCTGTTTCTCTTTCTCCCCTCCTCTCTGAAATCAATAAAAAAGTAAAAAAAAAAAAAGAATGATAGGATTCTGGTTCTATTAGATAGCAAATGAAGGCCTATGAGTTATATAATTAAAAGAGGCC